GTGGTGTACTCATACTACACTTCTGCACATTTTTGTGCAGAGCCAGGTATTAGAGATATCAGAGTCAGACAGAGTTAGAGTATGATCACAAGGATTCAAGATAGAGTTGCTTGGTCGTCGTAGTCCCTTGGAGTCTTTTCATTTTATTGTACTATTAATTATTAATCAAACAGTATTGAGTATTCGATTCTTGAGATCATTTTATGTATTCAGTTAGAGTTCGTAACTCAGTATTACCAGTCTTGGGAGGCTGTTTGCAATTATTTCCGCTGTTGGGTTCGATTATCTATTTTAAAAAAATTGGCTTGAATTGTAATTATAATCGGCTTACTTAGTCTTAGACACTAAGTGCATCACGACGCCTGTGGTGGGATTTTGGGTCGTGACACTAGTTTACCTGAGTGTTCAAAATATTATACAGTCCTAGTTTATGATTTTATTCAACATGAAATTATCTCTCTGAAAAATAATTGAAGCCTAATGCCAATGAATTTTAATTTCTTCCACGTTATCCAGTCTTGATTATACGTTGCAAATGTGATCCTTTGGTCCTTCTTTTGATATGCAGTTATGTTAGTTTATAATCATTAATATAGTTATCTTATTTATAAAAATAAAAATGTATTAATGTCCGAAACTTGAAAAAAGGTCCTAAAAAAATATAAAAGACCGTTAATATTTTAAGAATATTTTAGTCGTTCAACATTTAGTATGACATTTGTGCTTTTATAATAATATATGGATATAGATAGATATAATAAATATAGATATAAATATATAGATAGATAAATAGACATGTGTTACACGTACATCTTTAATCAACTCTTGGACATGTTCCCTTGATATTTGGGCGTGTTAAATTTCTTCCCCAATTCAAATTCATGTTTCTTGGATAAGTATTTCATCTAATACAACTCTTCCTCGTATTGACACTTATGTCCTCTTTCTATGAATATTTGTATGAATTACTTCGATTTTTTTTGTAGGATATAGAAGTCCTCAATATTTTTCTAACTAAAAATTTATAATGATAAGAACTCATAATTTTGTAAACACTCAGGAATTCATTTCTTCAACAAAATCCATTGGAAAGGTTAGAGACAACAAAGAAAAGATAAATAGAATTCAATTGATTCATGATTATACTCGCTAGTCTAATATTAACGTTCATTAGAGAGAAAATTGGAGTGGTAGATACGATACTCTTTACATCGGTGCTTGTACTACTCTATCGAAATAAGATTGATGATGCTTAAAAAACATAGAGTACTAATTATTTATTGTGACCTTGTTACACTATTTGTCTAAAATAACAAAATTAATGAAAGTCTAAGTTTCTACATCATTAAAAGAATTAAAAAAAAATTGCCGTTAAGTAATAATGATGAGTAAGAAAACCAAAAGTAAAGAAATAAATGTGTTTACCCCTCAAAATCGGATAACAATCGAATTTGTAAGTAGTTTCAAGGATACGTGATGTAACCTGATACAAAACGATAAATCAGATTGCAATTGAAATAAGCAATGGAAAAGTAAATGCAAACCACACAAGTTGAATAGTCTTAGCCTTGGAAGGTTAGCCACCCTCGAGCCAAAAGTGCTTTGATTGATATCAGAACAGAACAACAAGAGAATAATAAGAACTTGATGAGAAATAATAATATATTGGTTTGAGATGCGTGTTACAATGTGTCGAATGAATTATGAGACCCTCTTTATATCGTAGAGGAGTCCTACTCTAGATACATTTCTATAAAAGGTAAAAATCTCTTGATTTGCTGATTGCTTGCTGATACGTGCAGAGAATCTCGCCGTAATATCCGACCGGTCGCGGATATTTCGGTCTTCTGTTAGTTATCTCAATTCTCAACAATGCTTCTTCGAGCTCGTTCGATGCTAAGGTCGACACCGGACTCAATGTTCCTCGAAGGCAGGCTTTCCGACCTCGGTTCTAGCTCTGTGGGACTTGAGGTCTAACTTCAGTTCTTGATCGGCATGTTTCAAGCCTAATCTATCAAGTTGTAATCGAGCTCGACTTCGACCGTATAAAAATGATTAATTAGGTGCCAAATGTTTCCGCTTTGCAAGAACAATTTCAAAAAGAAGTGCTAAAAATCTTGCCGTCATTGTGAGGTAAAATATTTGTGTATAAAACGTGACGAAGTATCGGTGGAGGCAACAAATTGACGACCACTTCTTAGTATTGTTTTCATAAGTAATTATAAAAAATCACTTGGTTTATGAGTAATTTCTCCATTTTAATTCTTGAAACACTTGGTTTAAATCCAAATAGCAATCTCCGTTTGGTATCAATTTCATATGGAGCCCTTTGTATAAAATCATTGACTTCCTTTAAACAGTAAGATTATTTGTGATATAATCCCAAAAGGAATCAACTTTTTGAAGAAAAGTTTCAATCCCATTGCGTAGGCTTGGCGTATGTATGTGTAGCTTAAATGAAAAAAAAGTTATTTACAATTATATTCTTAAATTATATAAATACTTAAGATTATAAAAGTCGATCAATATTTCAGAGATATTTTATTCGTTCAATATTTAAAATAAATTACTCGTTCTTTTATAATAACTAGTATCTATGAACGTGCGTTGCACGTTAATAATGACACGTGATGATTTAAACATTTATTTATATGAAGGAACAATAAAATTTAATTAATGAGAAAAATTTTGTGTATGATAATACAACAATTTAGTCATATTAGTTAGATAATTAAGTATTACAGTTTGAAAGTATTTAATATGATGGTATCTTAACGAACACTTTTTTATAGACGATATTTTTGTGTACGTTTCTTTTTAATGCTTTAGTTGCTCTATCATATTCATCACTCTTGTTATCGATATTGATATCCCTCTTGAAAGAGAAATATATAGTTGTTTGTATAATAAAATATATTGCAGTAAATATAGTTTAATATTTTGAATATTTCTCCTTGTACTTTATTTATTATAATTGCAAAACATAAACATACTAGAAATTATTTTCACAAAATTTAAAAGGATATTCTTTAGTTTCGGAAGACGAAAGTTGAATTTGGGGATAAATACATATTTAGAAGTATATTTACCAGTATCATAATTTCTGTATGTATGACGGTATTATCAAAACTTCTATATACCATCTGTGTGCTATTAAATAAGTTATTCGGCGGATCTAAATTTTTCAGCAGCATGACAGGCAAAGTTTTCTTCAAAATCAATCTATATGCAATGGAAGATCAATTTTAATTTGGTCTATTATATTTACGATGAAACTAACATATGTAAGAAATAATAAACTTGACAAACAAACATATATAATAGAAGGATATTTGATATTAAAGTATTTAAGTATTTTTCTATGAGCATAGTGCATAGTGCCAGCAATGTTTCATAATGAACCAAATACTTAATATTAAAGAGAACAAATAACTGACTTATCATCCATTTTAAGAAATAATTTATTTTTAAAATAATATAATATTATGTCAACATTACTTTACTTACTATTAATAAGGGGTAATCGGGAGGAGCTTCCGGTTCAAGTGAAATTACAAAACAAATCATAAAATTTTACTTTATTCCACATTGATCCATACAAGACCACTGGGTTGTACAAAGAGCACTGTACAATGTACTTTACTATCTGGTTCATTTTATTGACAATTGAATGGATTTTCTACAGAGACACGGGTCCCTCCGACCCCAGCGAATAAACACATTCTTCCACTGTTCTTCAAGGGCTTCAAAGAGATAGAACACTAAGTGGAACTTATCAGAAATCTTCACTCATCGGATGTCTCCAATTTTCCATCTGTATGTGGATTTTAAGTTTTGTGTAGTACTTCTCTGCTCTGTGAAAATTTCCATCTAGGACGAAAATAGTGATAAGGAGGGAAGAACTTCGATGCCACCTATGTATTTGACGAAATTCCCCAGTGGAAGATCTTCATGGTCAGCGAGTTTGGATAAACTCCGTAATGCAAATTTTGACATAAGCTGTTCACGAAAGTTGCAGTTTATGACATAACGATTTCGTCCTTAAAAAGTTCTTGCTCTTGCATGGATGGATTTCCTCTTTAAAGTGGTGAATTTTAAAAAGCTTGAGGTTCACTGACTGGTGCAATCAAGGTTTCACTTTTTTGGAACTGAACGGTTTGCTTTTAATTGGTATGCTCATCGCCAATTGCTGAAGGTTACTGAGTAATTAACTAATTAGTTATAGTCTATGTTCAGTTACTTTGTATTTTGTTCTTGAAATTGATAGACAAATTCCAAGTTTCTACCTTTATATTTAATAATTTGCACTTCAACTGTATTATTTCNTTCAACTGTGTTATTTCAATTTGTAATTATTCGCGCACCTTTGTTCCATGCCTTAAGTCTATGACAATTTGCCCTCTCGATAGAGGTTGTGATTAAACTATCAGAATCGAATGCGTCGAAGGATCCTTTTCTTCTTCTAACTCTAGGTGGTCCATTGAAAGCTAACTCAAACTCTTTGAGCTCATTTATATGTTGTAAATATTTTTCTTTGCAGTAAGAAAATTATAATGGTTAGTTATTTCAACTACTACTTGCAATTAGTTGCGTAAATAAAAAAGTTAAGATAAAATTTGATTACATCCTAAAGTGATTGTAAAGTTTCTAATTGCTTTCTTTGTTTTATTAATGCTCATACACATAGATTAACTCTGCAACCATATTATTTCCATATTTTCTTGTTGTAGATAAACAATGTCGGAATAAACATCAACTCGCTCCTCTCCTTGAAAGCATCTGAAGCTGGAATTGTGGTCTTCATTCTATTGTTGGTCTGGTTCACGTGTCGCCAGCTGGTTCTATATTACAACAGAGAAAGGTGTAGTTCTGATTACAATTCACTCTTATTCTATATATATAGCACCTCTCGTGTTATATATTTAATAAAGCAAATATAGATTTATGCTTCATTCTGCTTTGGAGTTTGAATTAGAATTTATTACAGAACTCAAAGTGTTTAAGATTTTTTTTTCTTTTTTCAACATTTAATGGAAGCAAAGAGACTATTGTGTTTTGATTCTGATCAATTGACAAGTTACTATTTCACAAGTTTGTCTATAGGTTTTGTGAATTTATTTTTTCTTTTTATGATAGTGCATCTACTTCTCTGTTTCTTTATATATGATTTACTTTCTGTCACTATTGGTTACTAAATTCGCGTGTTTTATGGACGTATTTTTGTGATTAATCTGCCACAAGTTTTTATCATATTAGTTGCCAATTAGCATCAACTAGAGGAAAAATTGAATTGTTTGGTAATCCCCCCTTGCTATTTGGAAAAGTTAATACCAGATTTTGGATAATGATAGGCATCATACGATGGCCTGGTTAAAACACACGTTTAACATGGTTTTATAGGGAAAAGATAGTACTATATATATTTTTACTTTGGATTCAAATTTATGATTAAGTACTCCAATAGAGATATCTTTGCAAAACTGAAAGTATTCAAGTGGAAACGCCTATTATATAATATGAAACATCCCTAGCTCTCCTTTAATAAATTTGCACTTTGTGATGTATTTCAAGCTTTTGACTGAAAATGTGATGGTCAAAGTTGGGATTTTATCCCTATGAGAATATTCAGTCTCCAGTCAAAGCTCTTTTTAGAAAGGGTGATCAGTTGATTTGGTTAGCAAAAATTTGCCGCAGTGAGATTGTTAGTGTTTTCTGCAGAACTTTCTGCTTTATTTCTGTTGTTATGGCGGTAGGACTTTAGGTTTAGAGGATCTTATAATTAGATTATAAATTTCATATATTACCAATTAAAAACGATGAGATTTATTTAACGAATACTTGTTTTCAATTGGAAAGGGCAAGTAGAAATAGATGGTTGTGCACATGTTTAAGCTAAACTTTTTTGCCTTTTAGTTTTCACATTCATTACTTGATTTCCGAAAGAGAAGTGTGAACTTGAGGTCATTGGTATGTTTTTCTGAATGATAATGTAGAGAGAGTGCATGGTTTGTACTAAATTATACTCCCTTTGGCCAATATTTAGTTTGTTTCCATATGGAGGCTACCCAAACAAATATTACAGAGGAGATGATAGATATAAATGATAGAGAAACAGTTAGCTCTTCTATCCAAGAGGACCGCCATTGCTGCCACTATTCTTGCTGTATCTAAGTTAATAGTTCCTAGCTATATGGAATAACATCATTTTGTACTTGCCATTTAACAATAAAAGGGGAACAACATCATTTTGGTATGTTTCAGGCTTTCAGCTTCATATACAACAACATACCCAGCTTCATATCTCTTGTAAAAATTTCTTCATGGCACCTGAAGAGTTGGTGCCTTCACATAGACACGAATTATATGTACACTAATTAAATGCTCAATATTAAGACTATTTTAAGTACTCGGAAGTACTAAAATAGATAATTATGTACGCGAAAATAACTTTACAAGAGACCTTTTGTAATATAATAAATAAACATGCAACGTAATAGCTATCGAAAATCAATTTCTACTAAAAACGGACAACCAATGCAGGCAGTAACATGAAAATATATTTTATCACCTATTCTCATGCTACATACATAGAAGTAAGACATCTCATGTAGAGATGTGATGGATCCGGGATGTGGTTGATTAAAATCTTGTAAGATTCACGTTAAGTGAGTTCTTTGCTAAGTTTAAGCAGCAGTATTCTACAATATTCATTAGTTTATCTACCTGACTATGAGTGAAAAAGATGGCGAAAGCAAATTAGGTTATGAAACCGATTTAATAGTATTAAAATATTTACTTTCAATGTATATAGTACTCGAGACTTAAATCTTAGAGTGAATAGATTTACCAACTAAAGTTTACTTTCATAATCCAAATTGATGGCGCAGACCTCACAAGTGAAAAGTTCATAGAATATTATGGTTAAAATTTGAAAGGTAGCAGAATGTACAATAAAATAAAATAGCTTTATTCATATTGGGCCCGGGCTCCTCCACTAGTTAAGTTAATACGTCAGTATAGATATATAGATTATGAAAGTAGTTTAGGGTCTTAGAGAAAATTATATGATATTGTTTTTTTTTATTGCTAATAAGGGTACTTATATTAGAAATTAAGTAACGTAATAGTTATAGTTATTACAAGCCAAGACTGTTCGAACGTTAAAGTCTTCAGAACAATCCTTATTGAAAGCTGATAAAGCAAAGGGAGGGGGAGATAAGTAATATAAGGGATGCCATGGTTGTCGTCCATATGAAAATGTGAGGTTCATCCCGTGTTTAGCCAAGGCATCTGCTACAACATTAGTTTCTCGGTATACATGTCTAAGCTCCACGTGATCCAGTTCCAGCATCAGTGACATGCGGTCAGAGATAATAGATAAGTAAAGTTCATTACCATGTTCGACCATGCTACACAATACCTGTGAATCAGTTTCAATGTGAAGCGGCCAGAGACTAAAGTCTTTAGCTAACTGTAGGCCTAGCCGAAGTGCTATTAATTCAGCTTCAGTAGCAGAAAAGCAAGTTAAACAAGTTGTGAATCTCCGGATCCATTGATTGGTCGAGTTACGAAATATTCCTGCAGCTCCCGCTATGTTAGTTGCTTGATTGAAGGCGCCGTCAATGTTAAGCTTGACAAAGTTATTAGGCGGTGGGTACCATTATATGATATTGTTGAGAATCATCAACTAATTCACATTCTAGTTAAATTGAGACTAATGGAGTTATCATTACGGAACAAGAACAACGTACGATTTGCTTTCCACACTTTCGTATCTTGTTTTTCCTATTGATTTTCTTTCTTTTCTTCAAATAATAATCAAACATCAACTTTAAAATTTACCCTCATCCGTTTTGCCATAAGTCATTTATGTTCTAATAATAAGTAAATCCTACTTAATCCCTTACCTTTTAATTGTTGAATAACATTATTCATTCTATCCTTGAATAAGAACAATAATCCCATTGAACAATATTTTTCGCCCGATCTCCGTAGTTCATAAGCTTATTTCTCGTCTATCCAAAGATGAAGAGGAAATTCTAATTTTTTTTAACGTGAAGCAGATTTAAAGAATACATATTTTTTAATCTGTATTCCTTTATTTTTCCTCGCTATATAAGAAGCAATTTTTTGATATTACCACACAACGTCTTCTTATGACATTGAGATAAAATAGATAATTGGAGAATAACACCTTATTTGTTTTGGTTGCTTTTCTCATTTTTTTCTATTTTGTTTTCACTATCCTTAAGAAAACCATTCAATAATAATAATAATAACAACTAATATTTATTAATTAAAGAAATAAAGAGGGATGTATATTCGTCTTTATTATTCCCCTGTTTCATTCAAACGATTTTCCTTTTTATCTATTTCAAGTGGGCAAATTTTCAGTTGATTTTAAGTTTTAATTATTAAGTAAAAGTACTAAATATTAAGATAATATCTTTGAGGAATTATGTCATCGAGAAAAAATAAGATATTGTCACGACCCAAAATTCTCACATTCGGGACCGTGATGGCGCCTAACATTTCACTTGCCAGGCAAGCCAACGTTAGAATAATTTAAACCACTTTTAACAATTTATTTTTAATTAAATAGTAAAGAAACCAACGACCGAAATAATATCTGAATTTAAATGTGCAAACCAAAAATAATACGATGTCTAAATACCATCCCAAAACTAGAGTCACAAGTGCACGAACTTCTAGAATAATACAAACAAGGGTCTGAATAAAATAAATCTGTTTGAAAGAAAGCACACAACTAAGATAAAGTAGAAGGGGACTTCAGAGATGCGAACGTTGTGCAGCTATACCTCAAGTCTCCTTTGATAGCTGAATCCGAGCAAATTTACAATACGCGCTGGGACCAACTCCGGTATCTGCACAAGAAGTGCAGAGTGTAGTATGAGTACAACTAGTCATGATGGCACCTAACCCAACCGCTAGGTAAGCCAACTAATACCTATCCAATTCCAATAATATTTAATAAGTGTCACGACCCAAAATCCAACTAACCGTGATGACACCTAACCTCACCCGCTAGGTAGGCCAAATAATAATAATCTGATTCAATTAGTATTTAACTGACTCTAATACACTCCCCAAGCACTGATAGTACAAATCACGAGCTTCTAAGATTAGAATTTACCAGCTAGTATGAAATAAATACATCATCTGTTCGAAATGTACATAAACAGTTTTTTTTATAAATTTAAGGCTACCATGAACAAGAGGCAGCTATGACCGAAACACAGGTACATTTTCAAATCCAGCTCCCGTCAATCACATAAACATCAACATCCAATGTCTGCACGCAAGGTGCAGAAGAGTAGTATGAGTATAACCGACCTCATGTACTCAATAAGTAATAAACCTAACCTTAGGTTGAAAGTAGTGACGAGATGGATCAAAGGTGAGGGTCTAACACCAATAGCCAACAATAGTTCATAACAACATAATAGAAGTAATAAAAGAAGTAGCTTAGAGATAAAATGCTCAGCTCGTTCACAGTTCCAGAAAAATAGGCTTGCTTTCCAAGTATATCAGTGAAAACCCGAATCTTTTACCGAAATCACCAAAATATGAGTACGTTTTGTAAAACATTTTCAACACCAGATAGGATATTTCATTTTTAAATGGCATGAGGAAAATACATCTCTATGCCTAAATGTCAATGAGTATGTAAAGTCATGAATGACGCAATATCGTACAATATGAGGAAAAATGCATCTCTATGCCTGTATGTCAAGTGTGCATGTCAATGCGATGCAACTCAGTAATAAAATCATATGCATACTCTGAGAGTATCAATTCACTCAGTCCTCCCAGTCATTCAGTCCTCATAGTCACTCGATCCTCCCAATCGCTCGGCACTCGACACTCGCACTCAGTAGGTACCTGCGCTCACTAGGGGTGTGTACAGACTCCGGAGGGGCTCCTTCAGACCAAGCGCTATAATCTGTACGAACAACTCACGTGCTATAGTATCAATATCTGGATCCGCACGGACAACTCACGTGTTGTACAGATAACTCACGTGCTATAGTATCAATATCTGAATCCACACGGACAACTCACGTGGTGCA